GGCGCCTAACAATTCTTCCCCCCCAACAAAGTCCTTGTCCCAAGGACGAGTTGTACCGGTGATCACCCTTTCTGGGGAATCCTGCTCAAGCTCCTGGCCCATCTTCCACAGCCGTATACATCAAGGAGGCATTGGGCCCGTCACTCCGAGATAGTACACCTTTCAACTGGCTGACATAAAATACCGGATGAATTTTCACCCCAGCTGGCAGCCGCACTCGATAAGCCGCTTTACCAATGCGCTCCAGCACTTCATATGGACCAGCATATCGATGGGAGAGTTTATCACTCTTCCCTATCCGTAAAGGCACCAAGGTGTTCCGCCGCTCACTTGACGGAAAGATCACTCGCACGAAGACGAGATCACCCACCTTATATTCCCGGAATTGGTGATGCTCATTAGCAAACTTCTCCGCTCTATCCTGAGCTGCTTGCAAATTCCGTTTGCATACCACCAGAATCTCATCAAGTTCTGTGGCCAGATCAGTTGCCTCGGAATCAAGCTTTTCTTGAACGTCCTTACTCAAATGCAATCCCAACTCCACCGCTGTTCGAGGATGCCTTCCAAACATCGCAAAGTAAGGACTTAGCTTGGTTCCACTGTGTTGGCTATTGTTGTAAGCAAATTGCACCAACGGAAGATATAGATCCCACTGTCCTTGCCTTTGACCAATGCTACAACGTAGCATATCCTCCACCACCTGATTCACACGCTCAGTTTGCCCATCCGTCTGAGGATGATCTCCACTCGAGAGTTTCAAAGTCACTTGCATAGCCTTTGCAAAACTTTTCCAAAATCCACTGGTGAACTTTGAATCTCGATCACTAATGATGTCCTCCGGCAAACCAAAATCAGGAAAAACCTTCTCCAAGTAAACCGCAGCCAAGTCTGAGGCAGTGACAGTCTTCCGAAGAGCCAACAACCGCACATACTTCGTCAACCGATCTACTATGACCCATACTTGCTCCTTTTGCCTCTGTGTTCGTGGCAAACAAGTGATGAAGTCCATAGAGATACTACACCAACGGCTCTGAGGAATAGGTAAAGGTTGCAAAAGTCCCCCCGACTTCTCCCGTGGCACCTTAACCTGCTGACAAAGCTCGCATGATTTACAATACTTGAGGATATCAGCCTTCATATTCCTCCAATAAAAGTTGCGCTTAATCAACTCATACGTCTTCTTCCCCCCAAAATGACCGGCCTCTGGACGATCATGATAGTGGAATAAAACTTGAGTAATTAACGCATCCACCCGTGGCAAATAGACACGGCCATTGTAGTAGAGAATCCCATCCACCAATGAGAAAGGAGCTTCCATCTGGTCTTGCAAAGAGGCCACCTCAGCATCCTGAGCCTGAGCATGCTCAACCAACTGCCCAAACTCGCTGACCACCTTACTCAAATGATGACAAAATCGTGTTCGTAACATCGTCACATGACGAACACGAGATAAAGCATCCGCCACCACATTTGATTTTCCTGGACGATGCTCAATAGGAAACTCCCCAAACTCCATGAGTTTGACCATCCAACGAGCTTGCCTAGTGTTCAACTCCTTCTGTGTGAAAAGATACACAAGTGGTTTGTGATCTGTCAACACCACAAACACTGCACCATAAAGATAGTGCCGCCACGTCCGCAAAGCATGAACAATAGAGAGTAACTCTTGCTCATATGTGGAATAGCGTTGCTCCGCGGAATTCAAAGTTCGACTCTCATATGCAATAGGCTGTCCCTCTTGCATGAGAACTCCTCCCAGTGCATAACCACTCGCATCGCATGTCACCTCGTAAGGTTTCGATGGATCAGCAATGCGAAGCACTGGAGCCTCGATCAACAACCGTTTCAGCGCCACAAAACTCTCCTCTTGTGGCGTCTTCCACTCGAATGGCACATTCTTGCGTAACAACCGCGTCAATGGAATAGCCACCTCTGCAAACTTATGCTGGAAACGTCGGTAGTAACTAGCCATACCAAGAAAACTGCACAACTCGGCCACTGTAGTCGGTGTAGGCCAGTTTTCCACCACAGCCACCTTCCTTGGATCCGTCTTGACACCCTTAGATGTCACAATATGGCCTAGATATTCCACCTCCGACTTTGCAAATTCACATTTGCTCTTCTTCGCATAAAGTTTGCTGTCTCGAAGTAACAAAAGAACCTTGCGCAAATGCACCCTATGCTCCTCCATATTCTTGCTAAAAACAAGAATATCGTCCAAGAAAATCTCCACAAACTCATGAAGATAACGCCCAAAGACCTCCGTCATCAACCGAGTAAATGTGGCCGGTGCATTCGTCAAACCAAACGGCATAACTGTAAACTCAAAATGTCCGAAGCTTGTGTTGAATGCCGTCTTGGAGATAGATGCATCATCCATTGCAATCTGATGATATCCACTCCTCAGATCAATCTTGGTAAACACTCGTGCTTCACCAAGCTTGTCTAGGATATCATCCACACGTGGCATCGGCATCTTGTCCTTCACTGTCTTCTTGTTTAAAGCACGGTAGTCAATACACATCCGCATTGAACCGTCCTTCTTCTTCACAAGCAAGACCGGAGCACCAAACGGAGACTTACTTGGCTGAATAAATCCAAACTCAAGTAACTCCTTGACTTGCCGCTGCACTTCTTGCTCCTCCGCATAACTTAACCGAAATGGACGCCGGTAAATTGGCCGCGTCCCCGGCTCCAATGTAATCCCATGCTCCACACCTCGTAATGGAGGCAATCCATGAGGAAGTTCAGATGGAAAAACATCAGAAAACTCGTCAAGTACATCCCGTACTGCTGCTTCTCCCCCACACGTGCCTTGGTCCCCCAAGTCACGAACAAACAGCAAGTAACTTGAAAGTGCTTTTCCATTACGACAAGCCCGCTTCAAAGATGTAGCAGAGAGCATAACAACTGGTGGTTGAACGCCCTCGCCAAACCACACATCTTTAACGCCACCATACTCCAGCGAGATACGCTTAATGCTCCACTTTATCTCTGGATCCACCTTCACCAACTATGGCATCCCAAGAATGAGATCCACACGATGGATATCCGCGAGATAAAAAGTCTCCACAAGTGTGGTTTTGCCAACCAACACTTCCAGCCCCTCGACACAAGCATCGAAATGCTGAGCAGAGGTAGCTGCACCTTCCACTGTGTATGGAAGAACTCCACGTGTGTTCAGGCGATGCTCCGCAACAAACTTTGCCGCAACAAAGTTGTCATCGCTCCCACTATCCAGTAAAATCCGCACTGGATCACCACGGAACACGCCCTCCAGCATTAAAGCTGATTCACGCGTATCCTCAAGCTCCATCTTGTTCCACACACAGTTGAGCTGACGAGCAACGATCGAAAGTCGCTTCCTCCGACCGGAATGGTCGTTCTCCTCCTCCTCACGCTGCAAAGTTTGCAACTTTTTAGTATCGGACTTACCGTGAGAAGAAGATTGGCCATTCTTCTTGTCCTGCTGCTTGTTCTTCAACTGCGGACAATCAGCCTTGTAGTGTCCAAGTTCGCTGCAATGATGACAACCCTGTCTATAATTCTTCACAAAGAACTTCTGCTTCTTGGACCCCTTTGCATCCGAGGTAGTCACCACCGACTTCAACTTGTGATGCTTGTTCCCATCCTTGTGTCCACGGTGATCATCACGACGATTCTCAACAGAAGGACTCCGCGAACGCTTGCGAGACTTGTGCTTGTCATTATCAAGTCGACGAGCCGCATCAAAGAGCTCCTCCAAACTCTTTGTAGGCTGAGAATGACGCAAGTGTTGCCGCATGCTCTCACTATGTAGGCCATCAATGAAGTAGGATTTGTTCTGATCTGGATCCTTCGTTGGAACACGACTAATCAAGCGAGTAAGCTTCTCAATATAATCCCCAAGCGTCATTTTCCCTTGCTGGAAATGGCGAAGTTCTGTACGAGCATTCTCCACGTCGTAATGAGGGGCAAAACGTAAACGGAAAGTAGCCTCAAACTCATCCATGGTAGATACTGGTGATTGCTTATCCGCAACACGGGACTCCTCAAGCCAATTCCACCATCGAAGACCCGCATCACGCAAAACCATCGGAATAGCCACTAAAGCCTCTGCATCTGGAGTTCCTCTAGCAGCCAAAAACTTCTTCACATTGGCTAGCCAAGCAAGACACTCGTCCACACCACCATCACCGGAAAAGGTTGGAATCTTGAGTCGATCTACCAAAGAAGGCTTACTTGGAGCGCTACCCTGTCCAGCCTCGAGTGCCTCAACACGCCCACGCATGGTATCCATCATGCCATGCATCTCGTCTTGCATCTCTTGCTGATTTTTATTAAGGGCTCGCAGCTCATGAACCACATCTTGAATGGTCCAAATCTCCACAGCTTCGTCGGCACCATCGTCGGCACCACCATCGATGATAGGATTCCAGCGTTCAGCTTGGTCGGCCATCGCAACCAATCCTCTGATACCAATGTTATGATCCGGCGCAAAAAGACAAAGATCTCGTTGCCCTAGACTATGCTACGCCACCTCTTGAGGTTCCTCACCACCCAACCACCCCCGAGCTACCTCAAAAGCTCCACTGCGCCGCCGCTCCACTGTGAGCCCTAGGGTAGGTTAAGTCCCTTACCCTAACATGCCTTAATATACCCTTGAGCCTCCCTTTGACCGATGTTGACCACGTAGTCAAAGCTGGCGCCTAACAAAGCAGCTGCTGCTACCAGATGGGAGGTACATAGCTTACAGAGAGCTAGGGGTCAGTGTAGAAAAATCCAAGCACTCTGGATTAGTGGTACGGGGATTCACAGCTTTTAGAGAGACAGGTACCATGTCCTTTTGTGCGCCTTTTCTCTCCAACTTGTGCTAACATATGATTTTTTATGTAGGCATTCCCGGACTGAACGATTCTTTGCTGGAACAGTTTCAAGTTCGTCTGATCATATACGACTTGCCGGGATTCGGACTGAGTGATCCTAATCCCAATAGAACATTTAACTCTTCCGCACAGGACATGGAACTCATTGCCAACACACTGAGACTCAGCGAGAGGTTTTGGTTGCTGGTACATCCTGGTGGCGGTCCCTATGCGTGGGCAGCATCAGATATATTCCAGAGCGACTATCAGGTGTGATCTCTGCTTTCTGCATTATCTAGAAAGGTAAAAGCCTGAAAGAGTTGATGCGAATTTTTTAACCTGGCTTGTTTTGCATGCACAGGTGTTGTGATGCTGGCTCCAGTTGGAAACCCGTCTAAGGCCGGGGACGTGAGTGAGATCGAGGAAGATGGAACAGATTCTGAGGAACTGTTGTCCGGATGGAGGTTCCTAGCACGAGTTCTTGGCATCGGCCGATTTTTTCCCATTCGAAAGGAGTTGAAGAAGAAGATAACAAAGATACACAAAGGATTGTATACGACGGTAGCTGACAAGGTAAGGAAAGGACTTTCTGTTTTCAGTTTTCAGCCATGATGCGTGTCTTTCAGGAACAAGTTTTGTTCGAGCAGAGGGAATTTATAAATTTTTGGGAGCAAAACCTTCGCTACACAGCACCAGACGCAGTCCCGAGAGCAGCAGCAGCGCCTAAACCGCCAGCGGCTGAGAGACGGAGCCACCCTGATTTTAGCAAGTTTTTCAAGATCAGGCTCAAGTTTCCTTCAGTGCCAGTGCGTCCAGCGTTCCGACTTGTGAAGAGCTTCACAATGTGGTGGTGGCCGAGACAAACTAAGAAGGAGCCAACGGATGATGCTGCTGTTGCTCCTGATGCTGCCGCCAGCTTTGGAACGCCGTTGCCTCCAAATCTACTGAGTGAAGCCTTCAAACTCAAGCTCGTCTTAGTCGTGGTGCTGCTGGTGATCTCGCTCTTGGTCCTCAGATAACGCCCGCACACCTCTCTAGAGCCGAGGTATGGTTTAACACCTCTCATTTGTTCGCTTCGCTGTATAAAATATAGATGTCTGACACTCGAGTCTTTGTCCCGTCATCTTTTACGTTTTATCTTTTCTGCTTGCAGCAGAGACAGACAGACACTGATGCCTCACTCCGAGACAAGAGTCGTATCAGAGGACCAAATTACACCTATGGATTGTTTTAAGCTGTCACCAGAAAGGTACTTGAACCGCAAGTTAATTTCTCACAGTTCTTTTCCCTTCTGTAGGAGATAACGCAAGAATCTACCGCAAACATAATCTTGACTCGAGGATTGGCGCGAGACCGTCAGAAGGGATGGTGTTTATAGAGGTCACGACAAGTTTTCTGATCTTTTGTGGCAGGCACGCTGGAGTCGTGGGCCGCTAATTATTTACCCGTACAAAAGCCTCTAACTTAGAGACTTCTAAGGTGCCTTAACGAATATCCACCGGCTCGCTGGCATATATCTTCAGAGAACTGGTGTTGTGCCTTGTATTTTCTGAGCTTCTCTTTTGTGCGAGTAGTAGCCATGTCGAAAGACAGTGTGAAGCTCTTGAACTTCTGGCCGAGTATGTTTGGCTTGAGAGTCCACTATGCGCTGGATCTGAAAGGGGTGTCCTACGATTACCAGGAGGAGAGTTTGCTCAACAAGAGCAAGGAGCTTCTCGAGGCAAATCCAATCTACACGAAGATTCCGGTTCTCATCCACAACGGCAAGCCTATCTGCGAGTCTCTCGTCATCGTCGACTACATTGACATTGTGTGGCCCGGTTCTCACAAGCTCCTCCCGGAAGATCCATACGAAAAGGCTGTGGCTCGCTTCTGGGCAGATTTTGGTGACAAAAAGGTAAACTTGTTGCTTCTTCCGGGTTGATCAAAACCAGATTTTTCCTTACCAACAGCTCTATGACGCCGGGAACCGACTCATACGAGCTATGGGGGAGGAGCACAAGAAAGCCGGCGAGGACTTCAAGTGGGCTCTGATGAAAATCGATGAAGCTCTCGGCACCATCGCTCCAGGCAAGCCTTTCTTTGGCGGCGACGCTATGAACTTTGCAGATGTTGGTCTGGCTCCATTCATCTGCTGGTTCAAAGGCTACCAGAAAGTGGGAGGATTCGTGCTTCCAGGCCCGGAAGAATGGCCCAATCTCCACAAGTGGGTGGACGCTGTAAATTCCGTGGACGCGATCAAGAAATCCACTCCAAGCCCAGACAAGGTTGCTGAATTCGCTGAGGTTATCAGGAAGCGAGTTCTCGGGGCTGCCTAAAACACTGACGGTTTTCAAGATACATGCTGTTTTCGATTCATCATCTCGATGGGTAAACAATAAAAAGTACTTCAAATAAAGAACGTCTCTGACAGGTTCTTGCTCCAGAAATTTCGTCGAACGGCGATTTTTTACTACCGTCAACACATCAACACTTGCATTCTCTCTCTCTCTCTCAATAGTGTCCATGTGGCAGTTTTTTATTGGTTTATCTTTAAATATACATCCCATTGCAATGGGTGCCCCATGGATGCTAGCCCGATGGGTGGATGATAAAGTATAAAAACATTTAGTTTACAATCGCAAATTAAAAGAGAGATCCAGATAGGGGTAACATATCTGGAAGTGGGAGATGGGGGATATTTATTTATATGGCCCGTGGGGAGGAGCTGGGGTTGTCCCACTTTGTTTGATATCGATACCGACTGTGAGGATGGAGTAGAGGTAGAAAGAGTTTTAGCTTGTCTGCTTCAATCCAGATTTCTTCGTTTGATCCCATCTATCCAGTTTTTCTGCTTGTGAATTGCCAATCTTGGAGTGGAGGACAATGCATTTTTCGAGTAGCAGCAGCAATGCTCTCACTCATCATGGCTTTTAGCTTTCACTCTTCTGGTCATCCATATCATGGGACTCTTTCTCTTGCATCAAGCCCAGAAGAGGTGACTTCCAAGCTTCACACAACTCCACAGTTGATTCACATGCTCATCCACCAGTGCCCCGTGCTTGTCATCCGTGCAAGCTCTTGCTGTGTGAGCCTAGTTGTGAGGGAGCTCTTCTCCAAGCATAACATTGGTCATTGTTATGGGCACCCATCCGTGGCATAAGGATTGGATATTAATAAAATATCCTATGCCTGTGTTTTTTATACTCATATTACACATGGACCAATAACAGCCAGACACATATTGTGAATGAAATATGCCACTGTAATTTCCACCTTTTTATGAATTACATGTTACATTTCTCTTTCTCTCTCTCTCTCTCTCTATCTGTGTCTCTTGTGTGTGTTAGGATTAGCCTTTTTATTAAAATCTTATCTTTTAAATTCTCCTTTTATGTTTATGGAAGCTTCTGTTTAGAAATATGTTTTACAAATTTACATAAACAACTATAAACTAAAAGTATAGAAATAGTAATGAGAAGCTAACACTTTGTTACTATATGATTAAACAAACACTCTCCAGAAATCTTTTATTCATTGCTGAATGTTCTTTTAAAGGTTAATTCTTGCCTAAATTATAACATTTCATTATTATTTTCATTATTGTGCATACATCTATATATGGCAAAGCCTTTTATGTATAACAAATACTTACCACATTGCTATTGTTTTCATATTTATTAGTTTAAACTTTTACTACCTAATAGTTTTATATATTTAACAAAGTAGCTCAAGTTAAATTCTTTTCCTATACAGATATATATTAAAGATATATGTTATAATTTTTTTTATTTTTTTATATAAAAATTACTTTAATTTTATAGAGGTTAAAAAAACATTAAAAATTGCCAATTTTGAGGAGCTCTACCTCTGAAATGAATATTTTTTATGGTTTAATTATTTTAATTAATATTTAATTTTTATTATCAATTAATATCAATTATTATCAATTATCAAGGTACACTTTGGGCCTCACAATACTTAATTTAAGATTTTTTAAATTAATTATTGTGAGGTCCAAAGTGTATGGCTACAATGTGTATACTAATATTAGTGTAATAGGATTTTGATAGCTGTTGGATTGGTTTCAATCTAAACCAGTTGTTCCTCTATATAAGATGGGTTTTTGGGCTAATTAATATGCACATTTTTGTATTCAATTTCCATATTCCATACACTTACATTGTTGGAGATGAGGGGCAATTTTGATTGTCCCTAAGAAGTGTTTGAATTTAGGATTTTAATTTAGATATAGCTTTTGTATTGTTTATCTCCCTTTCCTTATAATGTTTTCAATTTTTTTTTTTTTGCTTTTTCTTTTTTGTTCATCTTCATTGCAAAGTAGCAGCCTCTTATTTCTTTGACTTTAAAGTAGTAGTTGGTGCAGTTGCTCAATGCTATATGGTTATAGTTGAATAATCAAACTCAATTGATAGTGGCATTTACAACACATGGGATAGCTCCTCTTGCTCTTGATGTCAATCCTCGCATTTAGTTAAAATTCTTCCATATGAGTCTTGGGAATGATGTGTACCATTAGTTAGATCACTTTATAATGATTGCCACATATCATTCTTGGGATAATACTTTGCATTTGCATGAGTTTTCTATGTGTCTCCAAGGGATAGTGTTACAATAGTATAATGGTTTGAATGTAATCACTTGTGAAAATTAAAGCAATGTAGATGGCAACATGTGGCAATAGGCTGAGCAATAAAAGATAAACTCGAACCAACACAGAAAGAATAATAAGAAACCTTTTGTTACAAAAATGAACTTGGAAAGTAAACATTTGATGAGCTAGAACCAAGTGAACCCTTTAATGATACTCCCGAAAGAAAGATGGAAGGGTCACTAATTTATTCGTGTAAGATCCCTCTGTTATTTGAGTGACTCAGTGTCTAGACCTTCCATTGCAGCAACACCAACAAGACATTGACACCAAAGTCTCCACTTAGGAAATGGAAATCACCAATCTAGAAAATGCTAACAACGCTAATAAATGTGACCAACTTCATCACACCTAACAGTGGATATCACGGCCATGACCATGTCCTTGCCTATCTTTGAACTCAAGCAGCAACAATATCAACCTTAATTAGAACAGTACTATTTCCCACAAAAAGTGAAGCTAAAAGATGTGCAACAAGAAGTGGAAGAGACAATGTTTTATAACGTTATGCCAAATAAAGAGCATCGTCAAGGGTGGCTAGAGCAAGTGTATACACAAGTTTTACAAAATCTTAATGAAGTGTTAGCCACAACATTCTTAATTTGATCCACTTCGATATATTTGGCTCCGCAATAAGTAAGAGGCTTCGGAAACAAATACCAACCTACATCACTGACTCAAATGGCTCTTAATAAAAATGATGCAATTTTTGGAAGGCATCATCACAATCATTGGCATATCCAATCTCAACTAACAATATTTTTTCTTTACTGCTACAATGGTAGAAGGTTAATATTGCTGGACCCTTTATTAGTTTCCACCTAAGTTAGTTGAGAAATTGGTCATCACATGTGCATTTAGACCAAAAGGGCACTAAGGAAGGAAATTCTAAGTTGTCATTTAGTCAAGCATATTTGACACGATAATGAGAAATTCATGTTGTTAGCTTGCACTTGCTAGTGTTGGGAACCCTTACAAT